CTGGGTATGAGATCTGCTCTGGACACTTTGCCAGACGCCATGGGCAAAGGTGGGTGACAGTCATGGTCCTGCAGATCTTAGCAGTGTGCCCCTAAAAGGCCAGGCACATAGTAGGTTGTTTAAAGAAAGCTGCCTAATACCAGTATCCCTTCCTTTACCATGTTTTTCTGGCATATATAAAGTGCCCAATAAATGCTATAAAATATTACTGGACAGAAAAGGGGAGGGCAAAGCATTTGCACTTATTTAGTTGTTTGTTTCCTTGTTCCTGTCATTTTTTTTTTGAGGTATGGTTGACATATAACATTATATCAGTTTCAGGTGCACGATGTAAGGATGCGATAGTTACGTGTGTTGCAAAATGATCACACAGTCAGTCTAGTTCATATCTGTCACCACACATGGTTACAAAACATTTTTTTCCTAGTGATGAAACTTTTAAGGCTTACTCTCTTAGCAACATTTCAATATGCAATTCATTATTATTGACTATTATCATCATGCTGTACATGGCATTTGTGTTTTGGTTTTTTTTTTGGGGGGGGGGAACATAGTGTAATTGTTTAAACCCCAGAGAACAAAGGTTTTTCAAGCTTGTAGCAGTGCTGTGTGCTCCAGGAGTGGGCCAGTTTTGCGTGACCGGCAGCAGTTTGTGACAGCCAGTCTGGCACGATGTCCTCGGTTCTTTAATAGCCATTAATTTGGGCAGCTTGCGAAGGATGATTCCTTGTGTTTTTTGGCAGGTGTCTTTTACTTTTGACTTTATTAATCCAGACTCACCTTTTCAGAACTATGGGAGAGCCTCACTATTTCCGAGCAAATTACTGGGGAGAGAGGTGTTCATCCTGGAGATAAGAACAGGGCACATGAGGAGGCTCGGGGCGTCTGAGGACCCCACCACCCTTCCCCCGACAGTGGCCCTCTGGCTCCCTGGCTCGCAGAGCTGTCTGGGGCCACTTGCTCACTCGCAGGCGGAAGTGAGAGCGAGGGTGCCTGTCCTGCGGTCCTGCTGGATGGATTCCTCCCTCCGAGGTGGCGACTGCCCAGGGCTGTTGGCTGCTTGTCCCTAGGAGACAGCCAGGGTCCAGTCCCTCAAGGGTGTGGAAGGGGGAAGGAAAGGCAGGGTCACAAAGTCCCACTGTCCCCGAGGGGAGCTCCTCTGAAGGGAAGCACAGGCCGAGAGCCCAGGGCCCCCTGGTCTGGCCCCTGGGAATGGAGTGGCTGTGGGGCTGCTCAGCCCCTGCGTCTCATGCTGTTTGCTTCACCTTTAATATCCTCTGTTCTCTAAAGTCAGCCATATGCCAACTCCATTGAACTAGGAACATCCTGTGGGACCTTGTTGATCAGAAGGACCAAAGACAGACAGAGAGAGGGAGGGAGACTGAGGCAAAGACACAGGAGAGGGACTCAGACTTTCAGACCAGTGGCCCATCCGGACAAGACGTGACAAAAGGCTGCCCTGCCCTGTCCGAGAGGGACAGCCATCCACGCTCTGTCCCGTTGGCCTTCGCTTATCTCTGCATCTGTTTCCCCGTGTGCAGGGTTCAGAACAGCTTGCTCCAAGGAAACAATAAACGCATTCATGTTGATCGAACCGCATGGGGGACAGTCACGGTGTCCCTGGGTTTTCTGCCATCCATAGGTTGTTTGGGTTTTCCCTGCAGGGTAGAAAATCACAGTATGTTTCTTCTGTGAAATAGCTGTTCTCTGTGGCGTCGCCCTTCACGGGCCTGCTGGTGTTGGGTTTCCTTTAGGTGAAGCTTAGTGAGAACAAATTGTGCACTTCTGTGATAGTTCCTCTTTCTGACAGAATTCCTTTATGACCGAGACAGTGTGGGGCTGGGTCGTGTCCTCTGCATGGCACGGTGGGAGAAAAGGGCCCAGCAAGTCCTGCGTAAAAATAAACACAGAGCTGGCCGTGCAGGTGTTAGTGGGGGTGGGCTGGTCTTTGCTGTCCCCTGAGACCTCCACAGTTGCCCCCGTAAGCCTGGCCTTGGACCTGTCCATTTCCTGTCCCTCAAGCAGTTTCCTACTGTTGAATTAGTCCTTTGGCCTTTGCCTAAAAGCAGTTACTTCTACAAAAAAGAAGAAAAAATGTCACTATTTTTTCATCCCAAGAGATGCAAATTTGGAGTTTGGGGAAGTTTGAGGGAGCTTGTCAAATCACCCACTGTATGATGTCAGATGAGACAGACCGTAGAATTTGCAGGGCCCAGCGCAGACTGGAGGGGGCGTCCTCTTCCTCAGGTATTCAAAATGTCAGAATGGTGGGGGCAAGCAAACAATCATCCAAGCAGCCTCTCAGAGGGCCGCACGGCCGTGCAGCAGGCTGGGGAGCATGGGTTTGAGAATGTCAGTGAGGCTGGTTACGTGGTAGGTTTCATCTGGCGTGGGGGGTGGAGGGGTGGGGGGAGGAGGGGTCAGACATTTAGTGAAAATGGAAACAGGCCTGTTGACGCAAATCCAGATCCCCTGGCTGAGTGTGGCTGGCTCTGTCACACACCCACTGTCCTGCATCCCTGTGTGCGGTCGGCCGCTGCGGCAGGGTTGTTTCAAGAAGGTTCCCTCAGCTGTCCTCCCTGGGGACACGCGGGACACAAGTGTGAGATCACTGCCCAGGGCGAGGGCTTTCCCGCCGAGCCGACCTGACCTGGGCATCAGCCACAGCACAGAGCACGTTTTCTCCTTTATGACACGGCCTCGCAGCCCCGCACCTGGACGGACTGACACGTGAAGTTACTCGGGGTCTCCTTGCCGCCCCTGGCCTGCCCCTGACAGCAGCCCTGGAGGGTCCCCCGAAGGCACGCTGGCTGGCAGGGCGCTGCCTCGGGCACTCCGCAAGGGGGCCTTGGGAACCATTTCTTCTCTTCACTGGAAATAACTCACGTGGAGGGTACTGGTCCTGTTGTTTCCTGCAGCTGAGTAGTGCACATTCAACAGAAAGATGCTGGTGTGTGTTTGCAAAACCAGAGACACCTGCCGTGTAGGTGGAAAATACCTTTGACTGCAGTGTGTTTGACATATGTTTAGTATCCTACTTTTTCTGAAAAGCTCTGTGTGTACACACACACACACACACACACACACACACACACACACACACGGGAAAAAATTTGGTAGTCCTAAGTGCTGGATATTGTGGGCATTTTCTTGCCTTTATAGAAAAAACAAGTTGTAAAAAAAGGTATCACTTCTGTAGCAAAAAAGTTCAAAGTCAACATTATAAAAATGTTGTGTTAGGGGAATATTTGTTGTCAGGAGACTAGTTCCACCATTTCTCACCCCAATCAATATAGGGACAGTTAAGAACTGCTTTGTGACATGTCACAGTAAAAGCCCATACTCATGTTCAGAAAACTGAATCTCACATTAATTCTGCACAGTAATTGCAAAGATTTTTCTCATTTGAGTCTCTTGTTTATAATTGTTTTGGTAGTTTGGGAAGAGTCGTCGATTTCGCCCTTTTTACGGTATGCGTATGTGAGATTGGACACACGCTGCTCTGGGAAGCCTGGGGCCAGCTCCGTTTGCTCCTGGGGCTGGGGCTGTCTGGCTTTGGCGGCTGGTGGCCCTCAGGCTCGGGGCTGAAGCAGGTGTGGGCCGCACAGCCTTTTACCTTCTGTGGTCACCAGCTGTGCCCCTAATCCCCAGTCTCAACTCATGTCTCAACTCAAACGCGTTCAGTGGCTTTCAGAAATAGATGAAAACCCCTCCCCACCCAGAAAAGGTGACTGTCACTCACATCTTCTTCATACCTAGCACACATATGACTGAAATTGGAAACACGTCTTCCAGACGTGCCATATATAGCTTGTGCCTGCAGGGTTGCCAGCCTGATTGGAGATGGTAAGGTCCCCTGAACCCCCAGCTGTGGCCAGCTCTCTGCTGAAAACAGGCTGTGCAGCTCAGATCCACACTTTTGAACCAAAGACAGAGGTGCCCGCCCTCCCCAGATAAAAAGGGACAGGATTTATATTCAGCCAGCAGACCCGGCTTGCTGGTTAGAAAGGATTCCCTTCTGAAGGCTGTCCAGAGCGTACATGAGCAGAATTGCGTAGGTCACCTTCAGCTGTCACCTCCCAGGGGCCCCTGAGACCTCCCAGGTGCAGGCCAGGACCCCAGGTGCTAAACGCAGCCCACCCCTTCCTGCTGCCTCACAGATGCCCGACCTCTCCCTTGTGCCGGCGGTGGCTGACAGAGCAGCCTGCGGGATGCCACCGAGGGCAGCTCTTCCCAGTTGCTTTTCTCTTTGAACCAGTCTAGGACCCGGCCATCTGTCAGCAAAGCAGTAGGGCCCGGGCTCTGTCCTGGCCTCTGTGCTGTGCCACGGCTTCACTGCATAAGAGCAGGGCGAGGTCTGAGGCACGGGCCCTGAGAGCGTGGGGACAAAGACAGGAGCCTCGGCGTGGCCCATCTGCCAGGCTGGAGGTGTATTCATTATTGATGGAAGGAGTGTGCAGGCTGCTCAGATATGCAGTCTGCCTGGGTAAATGAGACATTCTTCAGCAAATTGCTTCGTTTTTTGATTGCTGATTGTACGCGTGTCACCAAGCTGACTCAAGGTTCATCGATGCATGCTCAGTAAATTAGAAAGAACATAAGTATTGGATCAGCCAAGAGAATGAATTCTGTGCCTACAATGACCCAGGGCCATTTAATTTTCTGCTTAATTTTGTTGCAGTCAGTTTGCATTTTGGGTTATTATGCAGTAGGAAATTAACAATAAATAACAAATTTGGTCCTCCTGTGCTGGTAATGATATTTTTATAAATCTTTGTAATGCTGTTTTTTAAAGCATCAAGGTCTGTGCCTTTCTGATACTCCAGCAAGTATGTGAGGAGGGAGAGACATTCTTCTCAGTAGATAACAGTGTTGTTAAATGCACAGGGCTTTTTTTATCTCTCTCTCTCTCTCTCTCTCTCTCTCTCTCTCTCTCTCTCTCTCTGTTATATCTTATTAGTACCTTGCTTTAAACTAAAGTCCCTTCCTCTCTTTCTCAGATAACCTGAGGACAATGGACGCTGATGAGGGTCAAGACATGTCCCAAGTTTCAGGTGAGATCCTTGTGAGATCTGGCACGGCCGTGAGGACCATGCTGTGGGCGCCAGACGCCAAGGTTGTGTTTGGGGGTGGGAGGGGGCTGCTGTGCAGAAGGAGAGACCAAGGCGGAATTTGGGTCGGTGTTTAATGTCAACTCTTAGAAGTTATTCCAGTTGAAGAACCTGAACAGGAAATCTTCAAGCTAAAATTAGGTTTACTGTTAAATCTGAGAGCAACTTGGCAAGGATTCAATATAGGTTGGTACTCTTGGGGGGGTGGGGTGACTGGTTGATCTCATCTAAACCCCAACACATGCCAGTGAGGTGTTTAAAAGAGGAAAGAGAGAGGAAGGAGACAGACAAACAGGGGGAGAGAGAGAGAGAGAGAGGGAAAAAGTAGCTTGGAAAATGTAGTTTGGAGGCACAATTCAGAATATCTGTTAAGCGTGGAAACATGGTCCCCTTCACCATGTGTTTATTTCAAGCCCTACTGGACATGGCTCATTTCACCGTAGGAGACCCAGGAAGTGGAGCAGTGAGTAGGGTGATGAGGCGTGAGGGTGGATCCCAGACTGTCCCATTGGGTGACTGTAGGGAGGACGGAGCACCAGCCGGTCCAGCACAGCGCGCCTGGCTCCCGTGTTCACAGGCCAGGAAGCCCGCCTTCTGTCTGCCCTGTACCTGGGGGCACAGCAGCAGATGCAGCCTCCAAGGTGTTCAGTGCTCTATATGCTGCTACAGCCTCCCAGGCCCGCGGTCAGCCCCAGGTTGGCCTCCAGGGAAGAACGGCCCATCGCTGTCCTCCGGGCTCAGCTGGCCTGCCCTCACTGGTTTCCAACATGTTCCTGAGTTCTACCTCTCGGCCTCAGCCAGTCCTCTCGATGGTGACCAGGACCGAGGTGGCAGCTGCCCTGCTTGGTGACTGCTCTGAGAGGAGCGGGAGAGGACGTCCAAGTCCCTCCACCTGGAGATGGCGTTCCTGCAGACCACAGACATTTTCTTCACCTCTGTGCCCACTTCCCTGCCACTTAGAAAGTTTGGATTTAAACTCTCCAGGCTGCAAAGAACAACAAGGGCTAGCTTTTCAGCTGTGGCATTTAGGCGCTTGATGTACAGCCGGTGGAAGTGGAAACTGGTTGGCAGGTTTGGCCTCATCTCTGTCACCTAGAGTTGAATTGAAGGAGCTGCCCCAAGAGATGCACCGCCTCAGAGCACAGTGTTGAAGCAGACGTCACTGCAGCATCAGACTGACCTCTGGAAAGGGGGGTCCGTCCCCGACCTTGCTCGTGCGGCTCTCCACAGTGAGGATGATGTGAAGACGCTAGGGTGGCGGGACCGCCGAGGCGCACGCAGATGTGGAAAAAGCGTGCCATCTGCGGCCCCATTCTTCAACATGAAAACAAATCACGCAAACACACACACACTTTCCACATGGCTGCATACACACTTAGCAAAACTCTGGAGTGCATTTATCCACACTTCCTCTTGGCAGACTGGTGACAGGAGGAAGGGATGGGTTATGGAGGAAGAGGCGGGAAACCGCTTTTTTCACCTTATACCTTTCAGCATGATTTGAATGGCTTTCCCTTAAGCACACACTTGGTTTCCTAGACAGAAGTACCACCACAACAAAACCATGTAAATGAACACAAAAAGCTTTGGCTGCGTGGAGCCTGCCACGTGGGCTGTCCGATCTGGTAGCTGCTGGGAGATAAAGCCCAAAGGGAAGGGCCCCATCCTTCAGGACGGCGCTGGGGCTGGAGGTGATTAAAATGTCAAAAAACCATGATGCTAAAAATCCCAAAGGTGCAAGAAGACGCTTTCACCGCTTCTGCTCTCGCTTCCGTCCCGTCGGTGGCTCTGAGTGGGCGCTGGGTGTGATGACTCACGTGAGACAAGGCAGCCCCTGTGGGCAGTGCAGCCGGCACTCGGGTCCCAAAGCCCAGGCTGAAAGGCTAGCTGCGGGGGGGGCGTCTGTGCAATGTCTTATATGAAGAACAGCCGGGCCAATTTCATCTCTTATCACGTAACAAAACTGGCAAATGCCTCATTTTCTTCTCATATTTTTTTTTCCTTGAACATTATGCTAACCACTCCATTTGTCCTGGTTGCTGGCTGTCATAAAAGGGAGGGTCTCTGGGGGTGGGACCTCAAGACACAAGACTGCTTGATAAAGGTGACTCTTTGGGCTGAAAAGATTTCAGCTTTGGTGAAGCTCAGTTTGTATACACTCAGCGAACGAAATGCGTCTTCCAACACACTTACCAGCCCGTTGGGTTGAAGTTGGAGCTTTCTGTGTAGTGATTAGAGCATTGGCAGAGCTGTGCTCTTTCTGCTAGAGATGTAATAGTCACCTTGTCTAATTCTTGCTGCTTCTCCAATTAAACCCAATCACATCACTTTTACTTTTTCATTTCTAAAATTGAGGAAAGTGGCAGTTAGTTTTGGAATAAGGATGTACATTTACCCAACCAGAAGTTGACATTCTTGATACAAAATCTGAGGAATGTATTACTGAATTATCCTCTTTTGCCATAAAATTATTCGATGTTATCTTCTGTCCACAGGAAAGAAAAAAATAGGTTTTTCTAAGTTGAACCCTATGAAATTGCCACTTTCATAGGTAAAACAAAAAAAATTCCTCTATCAGCAATTTCATAGGGGTCAACCTGATATATGTAGAATACTCAGTTGAAAAACAGACTTCATCTGACTTTTTGAAACCACCTGCTCTTTCTTCCCTGGGGTTTATCCTAAATGTGGGCTGAGCCTGGGTTTACGGTGTCTTGTGGATAGCAGACACCCAGTAAACGTGCAGTGACTTGCACCCACTGGTTTGGGACAATGGCACTGAATAGGCTTGGAGGAGGGTCCACCTAAAGCAAGCTGTTCCCTCCTTTAGGGCACACTTCATCCATTTTCTTGGTAAGGTGTTTTTCTTTTCTTTTTGTTCTTCGGCAGTCTTTCCAGAATCTGTTTTATTCTGGACTTTTGTTTTGATGTCTAAGGGAAGAGCCAGCCTGTGGGACAGTGAAGGTGGAAAGTGTTGACAGACCTCTATCAGCGTCCCATCTGTGTCCCCAACGATGGGACCTGAGACAGTGGTCCTTCCCTCCTGGAATACTGCAGTGTCATCTGCCAAATGAGGGACCGGAGCCGGTTGGTTGAGTTCCCTTGGGCTCCTATGACCCTAAGGCTATATCGGATGTTTTCTTAGTGGTATTCGTGATGTTTGCTGGGACATGTGGTCACAGGCAGTCTGCTTAGGGAAACTCAGCTCATCTACTGAGGTATCCATAAAAGTGCTAGTCGAGTTAGTCAAAAGCACATTGAGTGCTTTACGCTCACCAATCACCCACCTAAGCGTTGTCCTCATTTCAACTTCGCAAGAACCGGTGGAGAAGGTCCGCACACCATCTTCAATTGGCAGGGAGCTGAGAGTCTGAGAATTTCAGTAACTGAGAAGAAGCCTCATAGGGAGCCAGACATGCGCTGGGGATCTGGACGCTGGCGCGCCAACTTCTCCAATCTTCCATAGAGTTGGAAGTTTATTTACCCCCAGGAATTATGTTCAGCTGTGTAATTGTACGTACAAACCCTCATGCATTTGGGCGACCAGGAATCACAAAACTTTGTTGGGTGCAGTATAGCCTTCTTGAGAAATTCTTTGCTTGCTGCTGATAAGCTAATTATACAATTTTCTCATCTGATTTACCCCAAACACTTCTCACAGGTAATGCTTTATTTGAAACACAGGCAGTAGGTTAATTAAATATAAATTGGCAACAAGTTTCTTTCATTTTTCTAACTAAGGGAAATTATATTGCACCTCCTAAAATATTTCATTTGAATATTTGATTTCTTGCTGTGTACTCTTCTGTGCGTCTGTGTGTCATTGCCCACGCACTAGGGGAAGTGTGGACGCGTGCTGCTATACATTCCTTGTGCTCGTATAGTATGTCACTTCACAAAATGGTCCTCCCAGCTTAGTTAGCATATTAACATCCACACACACTATTATTTTATCCTCATGACAACCCTGTGCACTAAGCCAAAATCATGGCTTTTAGCCTCATTTTACTCTGGAAGGAGTATTCAATACGTGACTCATTCCATGTTCCCATCAGTCTCAGAATTGGTGAAGAACTACCTCGTTGGTACTATAAAATATCCCAGCTGAGCTCACCTCTAGTCACGTTGTGTTACTATTTGGTATGTGTTGACTTTTGTAGTCTTTCTGTGGTTTTGCACTTTGAATGGTTAACTGGGCAACTTTGTTTAAAATCTACCATAAAGGTATTTTTGCCTATCGCAAAGGTTTCCATGAAGTGGCGAGTGGTCATGGTGGAAACCTCCAGCCGAGAAAGCATCCTGGGCGACTGAGTGGAAGGCTCATGGGCACGACTAATGTCTCAGCAGCCACTGCTCAGACTTCGGGGGCTTTTAGGCAAATCAGATGGATGACCTCTTAAACACTATCGCTGAGTAAGGCCAGGCCAGGTTGAAGCACAGCCGAGCCCTTGGAGGGAATGGGAGGCTCTCTCACTCGGCTCTCTCCCAGTCCTGACTCATTACCAAGGCCACTGTGCACTCCGAGACTAATGTTTCATTTCCCTGCTCCCCAGGGTTCCCTTTGGCAGGGGGCTCCTATCGACCAGTCTGGCCCACGGGTTTTAGAATCATGATGCCCACTGTTTTCATTATTCCTTTTCCTCCCCCACTTAGAACACAGTGGAAGGACTGAGCTGGGAGGTGAGGGGCCCTGGAACGAGAGGTGGCTCTCGGATCAGTGCCGGAGCCCGACCAGGCGGAGGTGGCATGTCCGCTATTCTGGTGCCTTAACAAGATCTAATTGATCTTGTTCCCTAATAAAATGATCAGGCCGATACTTTTTTAGAAATCAATCAAGATGTATTTGGATGGATATTAGCATGAATTGAGCAGAGAGACGACATGCCTTCTTCGGATACGTCCTGATGTTTTATGGTGCTTCACCCCTGGGTTCCAGCCCTCAGAGCTGTTCAATAAATGGGTCCCAGAGTGTCCTGGAGTGCCCCAAAGGCGTCACAGGGAAGATCACAATAAGAAAATGGGTTCGTAAAGCTTAGCTGCTCAACCTCTCACTCCTGCTCCCTAATAATGGCAGCTGGGAGATCACAAAGACGCATGTGCACACCCCACAACTCGGCACATTTCATCATCTGGTCAGTTTGCTGGACCAAGGAGGGATCCCAGCTGTCTGTCCTGTGGGGGTTCCTCAGAGGGTCTTTGAGAAACAAGTGACCTGGGTCTCTGATATTGCAGCCTCCCCACCATGCGGAGTCCCCACTTTACATCGAAGTTTTGTGTAAGATTATTCTTAC